AGTACCTTTACTGTGCTTAGTATTATAAATAAATATATTCTTGACCTTCTTGACTTTAAAGCTAAAAAAAAAAAAAAAATCTAGTTATTAAAATTTTGCTCAACCAAATATAAAATCTTTTGTTAATAAGTAAATTCAACGAATGACTCTTGCATTAACAGCGATCTAGAGTTGGGTGCCAAAAAAAAATATATAAACGTGTAGCAGAAGTTCCTTATACGTATTAACACAGTACTACAGTGCAGTATATGTTTAACAGCAGAATCTATAGGAACTAGTATAGTTTGACACGGATATCAGAAAATCGAACCAGCCAATCAGAGATCTTCAAATAGACCGGTTTGTAGTCTTCAGTCCGATCCGCGGTTCAGAGGCTAAACCGGTTTTTTCGAACCGAGACCGGACCGGACCGGACCGTAACATCCCTATACAAACCAGATGTAGCAAACATGGGCTGCGTCAATAGAAACCAAGCAGATTGACATTTTATAAAAAATTAATACCTTAACTTTCACAGTTCATATTTTAAATCTATCTTAATTTAACAGTCAAAAGGCCTAAGCTTTCTTTTAATTATTAAATCATGAAGATAGCTTTAAAATTTTAAAGTGTCAATCTGTTTGATTCCTATTGACCGCAGCCCACATATTCAAATAAAAAGCGAGTGTAATGAAAAACAAGTTTCTAAATCAACTTCGAGTACTAACGCTAATTAAAATTGTTTAAATACACTTACACTACGTATTGACGTTAAGTTTTTGTCAAAATATTCTTGGAATGCTTAACGTTAAGAATTTAAAAAATAATTATCATTAGTACTGTAATATTACATAATAAATTGCGTCAGAATTTATCCAATTGAAATAATTGTCAAAATTGAAAAGGACATTTTATTCATTAGCATGACATTTTCTTGACAATATACATTATTCTATTCTACTGACAATAAATTTTGTTAACAGTCTATTTCAACTCCATTAGGTGAAAAGGATAATCGGGAATGCACACATAATCCCGTAACTATTTATAGTAAATTATGACGTTGCTGCATTATCCCTGCACCTTTAATCTTCCTTAACCAGTTTGGGGGATTTTTTGTTCTAAATCGATTCTGGGTTCAGAATCGATTCATGACAAAAATTAGAGCATTTAAAAAAGATAACACTTACAAGATCCCGATGAATTATATCTTTTTCATGTAAATATTTTAATCCAATTGTAATTTCTTTCGCAATCTTGATAAGTTCAGTCCATAAAATTTTATAAATGCCTTTTTCTTGTTTGTTTCGTAAATATTCTCTTAGATTACCGCCATTTGCATATTGCAAGACTAGCATGAAATTTTTCGATTCGGTGTCTAATACATTAAATTATAGATTGGTATTAAAGCTTATTATTCAGGCATGAACTAATTAAAACTTCGCACCTCTTGAAATTCCATGAAATTTTACAATGCTGGGATGACCTTCAACATTGTAAAGAAGTTTAAGCTGCATAAAGTATAATAATATTTATAAGGATAATGTGAATAGAAATGTAATATAAAGAGTGAATATTACCTCATGTCTAAATTGTTTATATATTTTATTGTCCGCAAAACTTAGGTTATTTTTTAGACTTTTTATTGCATATTTTTGTCCTTGAAAAGTAGCCTCGTATACGATTGCATATCCTCCACATCCAATGCATTTAAGGTTACTACATTGTGAGTATTCAAAGCTTTTTATATTGTTTTTCTTTAAATATTCTTCTAATTCTTTTGAATATTCAAGTACTATATAGTACGAAATAAAATTTAATATGATTTAGACAGCTAATAATATAAGATGCTAAAAAAAAATTAGCAGTATATAGGTTGGTTTAATTTTTTATAATAATTAATGATTAA